TTGAGTGCTCTAGCACTCCTCCAATGGCGGGAATGGATGGTCCGCAGTTTGTGAGAAGCTCTAACACTTCGCGTGACATCTGCAAACCTTTCACAGAGTAACTTAAAGAAGTCACTCAGGGGGGTGATTAGGGAATATGCGACCATATCGTTCTCGCACTTGGCAGCACGGGAAAGCGACCTAGCAAAACTAATTGCTTCATCTTTAAGGGCATGGAAGGCATTGAGGACATGTTCCTCGGGAGCTATCTTCTGAAGGTGTACATAGGAGTTCACGTTTGCCTCCCAATCATCGAAGTTCTTCTCCTTCCCGCAATAGGAATCAGGGAACTTCACCTTCACAGGCTCTCTACAGGGACGAACTTCCTCCTCCCTTGGAGCAGCAAGTTTTGCGCCTTCTATGGCGCCTGTACAAAATCGCTCCGTATTTTCTAACCTCGTCTTCACCTTTGAGCCCACTTGCATCATCATTTCGCGTGCGAGCTCTCTAAACCCCAATCGTATGGATCGTAAAGCTACATCCTGGCCCCTTGAAAACTGATAGTGCTCTTCGTGGGCCGTTGCTAAGAGTTCCATATAGCCATTACGTCCATCTTCCCCTGCCAATCGGCTTGTGCCTCTATTTGTGCCCTCTGTTGTTTTACCACCACCAACTCCTTGGCCGCCTTACTCGCCTCCTCCATCCTCTTCTTCTTCTCCCTGGTCTGACGCAACTTCCACTCTAACTTTTTCTCCTCTTCTATGGTCTGACATTTTAAGGGGTCCTCTTCTACGTCCCATTCTTTTACTACCGCCTCGTGTTCTGCCCTTGTTTCATACATCATCGCCTCCTCGTCTTCTCCCAAGGATAAATTAGCGACCCACTCAGACACTTTCTTCTGCAGCCACAGGTCCGCCTGTTTCGTGCCACTTGACTCCCCTCTCTCTCTTGTGATCTTTCTGATCAAGGGGACTTCTTCTTCTACCTTTTTTCTCTTCTTCTTCTTCTGCTGCTTCCACTGCTTTTAGCTTTTTTTCTTCCTCTCTTTTCAACTTCTCCAACTCCTCCAACTTATTCTTCTTTGCGGCTTGTTCCTGCAAGAAGGCTAACTTCTTGGCCTTCTTCACTACCTCTTTCCTCTCCTTTTTGGCCTTATGCTCAGCCAAGGTCCTCGCAACCTCCTCCTCCTGTTCCTTGGTGTAGCGAGTGGTGCTAACACCACCCCTGGTCTCTACTCTACACGTGAAGGTGTTCCAGAATTCCGAAGGAAAGAGGAGACGCCAGAGGGTCCCCTAGACGGAGAACCCCACAGGCAAGTCGTACATAGGGTAATCATCCATGGTGTTGGGTGCACGACAATGACTGTCCCACTCCTCACCACTTAGACCTACCCATTGTCTCCCTGACTGACTCTCTAAAGACAACAGGATCCGGGTAGGGCCCTGTCAACTATGGTCTGTAGCCTAGAACTATTACTAAGTTGTCTCTACAGGACTTTAATGCTGATCAGGAGGCATTTAAACCACTAGTACCTCCGCCAGTGTTGGGAAATTATGATGTCCTGGCCAGTACCCGAAGTTTTCGAGGGTCGGACACAGGGTCGGCAATGTCCCAAAAATCGTAGTTTTCTGCCCGTGCACGAAAGGAAAAGGAAAAAATAAAAGGCCTTTGTACTGCAATGATGTCGGGCAGGGTAGTCTAGGAGGTCGTGCTCACAGTCTTGAATGCATCTTACAACAAAGACGGTCACATTTTGAAACTTGTTTTTTTTTTTTTTTTTTTTTTTCTTTTGTTTGTTATGTGTCCCCTCCAACGAGGCAGGGCGGAATCCGTGATCTGCTCTAGCTGTATTTCCTCAGATGATTGTAACCCTGATGTATCCAACCGTTTTCAAGGCCGAATCCATATTTCCGTTTTTTTTTTCTTGTTTTTTTTTTTCTGGAATCTCACAATTTGAATCCGTGATCTGCCCGAGCTGTGTTCCCTCCGAGGATTGTAACCCTGATCACACTGGCAGTTACGGGAATGTATCTTGCCATTTTCACGACCGAATCCGTGTTCCTGTCTTTTTTTTTTTTTTTGAGTTTCTGGAATCTGACAACCTGGCCATGGGGCTGAGATGCCCTCACTCAGGGCACACTCACACTAATACTTCCGAGAATGTATACAACTGCAATAGCGCCCAGAGCTTTGTTTCGTTTTCTTGTTTTGTGAGTTTTCACGGCCGCAACTTTTTTTTTTTTTTTTTTTTTTTTGTTCTTCCCGTGAGAGTACCATAAAGAAATAGAGTGGGACCCAGGCTCGGCAAAACTCGGAGCGCAGTGAAAATCAGGGTCGGCAAAAACAGGCTCGGAGGTACTGGTGGTTTAAGGAGATCCCCCGTAACTCCTCAGGAATTATTTAACGTCGCAGACAGGATGACATGATCAGTAAGTCCTCTCAAGACTTAGACAGCTTGTTGTGCAACACACAACTCGGATTTTGGGCCTGGCATGCCACACTGAGCAGCTCGTCGATCTGTACCGGTCCTTGGGAGGATTTGTCCTCCGGGTCAGTCAGTTGTCAGACACGGCCTTTAGCCCTACTCAGCCCGTGTGGGTTTGGTCAACAAAGCTCTACGACCTCCTACACAGAGTTCCTATCACCTGGACAAAAGAGACTCAATGCAGAAAGAAGAGACAGACAAACTCAACAAGTACCATGGGGTGAATGCACATCCATAGGGCGAGGGGGTAGGCTGAAGGCTTGGCAAGAATATACCAACACCAGCTTGGTCAAACTCATGGTCAACAGCTCCGGTCAACGCTGGTCAACACTGGTCAACACTGGTCAACACTGGTCAACACTGGTCAACACTGGTCAACACTGGTCAACACTGGTCAACGCTGATCAACTTGCCGGTCAACACCTTGGTCAATGCTACTCAACCCCTCAGTCAACACTTCAGTCAAGCCCGGTTAACTTCCCGGTCAACGCCTTGGTCAACCCTGGTCAACTCCTCGATCAATGCTTCGGTCAATGCTTCGGTGAACCCCGGTCAACGCCTTGGTCAACCCTGGTCAACTCCTCGGTCAACGCTTCGGTCAACGCCTTGGTCAACGTTCAACTGGGCTATGGCTGCTGACCCCTTGTCTCCCTTCAACCTTCAGTTCGCCTTCTCCCTCCTCCCTTCTTTCTTACTTTCTTCCTCCTTCACCCCGGCTATGACTTTCTTTTTCCCTCTTTTTCTCTCCTTCTTCTTCCTCGGCTCTGGCTTCTCTCTCCTCTGTCCTCCGTCCTCTTTTCCTTCTTCTTTCTCCTTGGTAACCCTGTGTCCGAGCTTCGGCGGCTATGGCCGCCAGCTCCTGTCTTGGACCACACAACCAATCTTGTATCACTCCTCTCTCTCTCTCTCTCTCTCTCTCTCTCTCTCTCTCTCTCTCTCTCTCTCT